CCTGCTAGATGCGCTGCGCCGTTTTGGGGCGCCCTTGAACATGCTCGCGCTAATGGGGGATATTTGCGTGGCCGACGGGGCAGTCAAATCTCCCGAAAGAAAGCGGATGTTTGGAATCTCAAAGGGGCGCCCGTCATCGCCGCTTCTTTTCGCCATGTTGACGGCTTTTTTTTGGGGGGTGGCTGCGAGGCGCCGCGCGCAATCTGGGCGACGCCTGGAAGCTCAACGCGGGTTTCGGCGATACTTCCGCGCTGCCGTGCGCCGACGACGCGCCGCTCATCGGGGGGGGCCAGGCCAGCTTGCTTCATCTCATGGACAACATCGCTGTGGCGGGGGCGCAAGTTGGAATGGAACTGCGCTGGGGCAACTTCCAGATGATCGAGATTGACAGCGACGCGACGTCGACGGCGCCTGTCGGGCAGATCATCGCAGAGAAGCGACATGACATATGTTGGCGTTGTTTCTGTGCCGGTGGGCAGTTGGGCACCGAACAAGACAAAATGATCGGGGCAGCATGGGCCGCGTGACAGAGCATGGAAGCGCGCTGCTTTAAGCGATCGTCGAAAACCAGACCTATTTCAAGCGTTCGTGACATCTGAAGTCTATATTCATCAAGCGCGGAGCGGCTAAACAAAACTGAGCTGGCGGGGGGGGGGGGGCGGGTGAATTTCGCGCCGGACGTTAGCGAAGAGCATTGCGTATACCTCTCGCTTTTCATGCGCGAGCGCCCGATGGCAAGGCGTTGGGGCGAGCTGGGCCAATGAAGCGCAGCGCGCAACTTCTTCAACAACAGAGAATGCGATTAGGGAAAATGAGTTGGGCTCCGGATGCAGATTTTCTTCTATTCAATTTAGTAGTTCGTCTCGGCCTAGAACGCTTTTGGTCGCGGCGCCTGCAGGGCCACGTCGAGCTGCGAACTAACTAATGCGGGGCGCGCTGCAAGCAGGAGAGAGCAGGGCGACCGCTCGCAGCCATTCTGCACGCGAGTTGCGCGATGCCTGGCGCCTTGGCACGCCATCACTTTCTTTTGTTCTCGCCCGCGCAGTTCGGCGCGCGGCCCCGCGCGGCGCGGCGAGGGCCGCAGAGAAGTCGGTTTCAGACATCGGCCTCCGAAAAGTCGACAACGGAGCCGTGCCTTTCCAGCCTGGTTCGCTTGAGTCCGACGGTTCTGGGCGCGCCCCGGGCGAAGCTACAGGCATGCTCAGGCCCGCGGAATCACGCGCATTTTTCGCAGCTGGCATGGGCGGCGGCGACGCCGAGCCGCGGCCGCAATTTCAGATTCCATTTTTATTGTCATCTCCCACTACTCCCCCGGCGCCTTCTACGTCGCGATATTGCTCGCCGCCGCCGGGCCCCCCGGCCCGCCCGACTACCTCGAAGCAGGCCTCCTCCTTTGCGGCGTCTGCAATCTCCGGGGCAGGGGGGGGCCCGGGGCTCCGGGGGGGGGGGCCCGGGCAGCCCCCCCCCCCGAAGCGACGCGTCTCGGCGCGTGGAACGTCGAAGGAGCGCGCGGGAGTTCAGTCATAACATTAAAGGGAGTGGCCAACCTAACGGACAACTACACCGTCGATATTCGACGCGCGCAAGCAACGCAACTGCATGGGGCAGAATATTTCGCGCAGCACGGGTTTCTTCATTTTCCCTGGCGAGGCACACGTGGATCCCATATCCGACGCGGGAGTAGCGTTCGCAATGTCACCGTGGGCGCGCTCCGCCGTCGCTGTTCTCAAAGCGATCAGCCCTAGAGCGGCGACGCTCAGAGGCGAGGTCGCTGGGGCCATGCTGGCGCGAATTGCCGCATGCGCCCCCCGCCGCGGACGCGACCCATGCGTGCGACATGCGCTAGACGTTGACAACGCCGCGCGCGCGAAGCCAACGACGCCGCGCAGCGCCACTCTCGCCTCGGGGGGTTTCAACGCGAAGATATTGCGCCGAGGAGCGGGTGGAGAGGCATGGGAAGACGCGTTTTCCGAGGACCTCTGCCAAACGACTCGCTCCAAAGGTGGCGAACCGGCAGTTGTCAATGGAGTCGCGCACGGATTGCGTCTTGGCGGTCGCGAGCGCGTTCCGTTAAGGGGAGGCGCCGACGAGGTCGCCCATCGGGGCTTGGGGGCGCGGCCGACGCAATTGATATCGCCAGAGATTGTCTTTCAAATTGATCGCGTTTTGCGCCATCGCCCGATATTTGCGCGCGCGGAAGAACGCCGCTCCACCAGGGCAGCCGCGCTCAAAAGTCTCCAGTCTCTCAGGTGCGATTTGCCGCATCTTGGATTCCAGCGAGCTCCGCGGGGCGGCGCGCCCGCGCAGAACATTGATAATGTTGGCGCCCTGGTAGACAGGCGCACCTGGGAGCTCTTCGCCGCGACGCCCCCCGGCGCCGTCGCGGACCTACCCGCGCCCCCTTCCCCGGGCGGGGCGGCGGAATCTGCGCAGCGAGCGTTCGACGCCGCAGCTGGTTTCGTCAGCGCTGTGAAACGAGTCCTCGAAGCCATAGACAGGGTCGTCTACTCCGGGGCCCGCTGCCGCGTGGGGCGCCCGCCGCCGACCGCGCATCCGGGGATTGCAGAAACGCAGAACGAACTCTTGCCACGCAGACTGACGCGGAAACCTGGGAAGAAAGATGATGAGCTTGTTTTCCACCGCCACCGCCGCGCGTTGGAAGGGAGCGCCCCTTCCCCCCCCCTATCCGCCCTCTTCCCCCCCCCCCCCCCCCCCCCCCCCCCCCTCCAACATCGAGCCCATCAAAAGATCGCGCAGCCTGGTTTCACAATGTAGAATTCACTGGCAGCTGGGGCGCGGCCCAGCATTTACGAAAGCACGCCCCCCCGCATGCGCGCGGCAGCCAACAGCTCGAATGGGGGTCTCTCTGACACTTCAGCCAGGCCAGACGCCCTTGCAGGGCGTCACAAGGAGGTGCACTGGCGAGTCTGTCTTGCGCGCGCAGCCACCGCGAACGCCGGGGTGCCCGAGGGGGCCTCGGCGATCGACGTCGACGCGTTTCCCGTGGAAGAGCTTCTGAGCGCGCGCCAAATGCCGGGGCGCGAAGAACGCGCCGTCTGCGCGGGGGCGAGCTGACGCGGCGCTGTTGTTCAAGAAGAGGGGCGCTACCTTGCCGAGCAACAGCGGGCCGATATCCCTTCTGGCCGCGGGCTACTTCTCATTGGCGCCGATGCTGCGCCAGAGACTCTTCGACGGTGCGCGCGAGCGGAGAACGCGGGAATCTCTGTTCGATGCCCGCCGAGGGCGCGGCGCGCCAGACGCCTCGATGCTAGTCGGGGCGGCGGCGGGCGCAGCTCATTTGGGCAATTTGGGGCGGCTTCTTATTTTTATCGTTGGGCGGGGCGATGGCCTTCGATCGCCGGGAGCCCGGCATCGCGCGCGCGAGCCTGGAATGGTTTGGATTACCACCGCCATTCGTCAACGTGATTCGTGGGAATAACGCGGGCGGCATTGTTTTATCGTCGGCCGGTGTTGGGCATCGTCAGAGAGAGAACACAACATGCAGGTGCATCAGCCTCTACTTGCTTGTTCAAGCGGCGATGCTGCGCGATGCCGTGGACTCGCTGGAGCTGCATCCACGACCTGATTACGTTGTCGCCAGTGGCGTTTTTGCATGCTGGCGGCATTCTCTAGGCGTCGCACCCCCCCAGGAATCGACCGCTCACGCTTGAATCCGTCGCCGCAGAAGGTCGCAGCTATGGCATGATACTCAATTGTGACAGTATCGATACAGGTGGGATGATCGTCAACCGGAGAAGTAAGGACACCCGCGGGCGAGAGCATCGGATCTGTCAGGGGAGCAGTTTACTTGGGTGTGCTGGTTTTTTGCGATGGCAGAGCTTGAAGTGGTTTGCCCCGGAAGCTGGGCGAAGGAACGAGCATCTTCAAGCAAATGCAAAAGGTATGGTTTCACGCCGCCTATGGATGGAATTGTGGATACAAGATACAGTATGCCTGCGTTGTGAGCACGGTTTTGTACTCCTTGGATACAGTATGGTTTTTCAAAGCCGAGAGAGCGCTATTAGACGCCTTCCATTCCATATGGATCAGGAAGCTATTGCGTATTCCGCCTGCGCTTATTTCTAGGGTCGCCAACACCGCCGTGTTGGACAACGCTGGTGCAAATCCGGTTTCTGATACAGTATCAGACAAACACGTGGCGCTACACACCAACATCGCAAATGGGTCTCGCTTTGCGAAACAAGTATTCTGCAATGCCGACGGCTCTCCCAGGCAATGGGCTTCCCGTAGGGGGCGTGGGCGGCAGCGGCAGCGAGGGGCCACCTCGAGCATGAGCTTTTGTGGCTATACACCGGATTCCCTGTTCCTCCTGATCCTGGTCCTCTTCTTTTTATGCCCATCTGCCCGCTTTGTGTTTCACCAGCCGGGCGTTCCATCTTCTGCTCCACAGCCAGGCGCTCCATCTACTGTCTCGCGGTCGTGGGGCGCTCCGCTTTCCGTTTCCCGAAGGGTTGCCAATCGCACGCTTTTCTGATTACGCGTCCTTCCGGATGATTGGGTTGTGTGGTGGGGAGGCCGTTCAGGGCCCCAGCGGGGGCTTCTAGGGCTCGAGAAGTGCATTTCTCCCCCCCATGCGTTGCCCCTCCATTCATTCACTCCCAGATGGGAAATGAGAGATGGCACAGTCATCACCTCCCCTTCCAACCTCTCCTCCCTTTCACTTCCCCCTGTTCGTCCCCCTCGTGTCCCCTCCCGTAGAAGGGTGGAAGGAGTTGTGCGAAGCGGGGGAGGTGGACAAAGGGAGGAACGAGAAGAAAAAGGAACAGAAGCAGGGGCACGAAGAGGAGTGAGAAGTGAAGGAGGAATGTGGGGATGCACGGACGGGGGAGGAGAGGGCACGCAATTTACGTGAGATGGCCATTCGGCAGCTTCTCCAACAGCTAATACATTCGACAAGTGGCGCCAGCTTTACGATGATATGTTGAGGGAATCCTTGTGTGTGTGCTCGTCCACTTGAATGGCCAGTTGCGCGCCGCTAGGCTGACGAGCATTAGCACTTCGAGCGCCAGGATGGCATCTTCATCGAGCTGTTCGTGTAATGCGTTGCTGTAGTTTGCTGACTTGTAGGTTCTAGTGGTTTCACCAATCGAGAATGCGTCCTCGACCCGGGCGGAGAGGTGGACAGTGTGCAGTTGTCCAGGCGAACGCGCATATTGCGACATAGTATGCTTGTTTCGTGTGACAAGTAACCAAGTAACATTTGAAAACACCACCTCTACATATCATAACGGAGCGAAGGCGCCTACGGCGAACCATCTCCAGTGCATCCTGCTATTTTTTGGGGTGCCTGTATTGGACGGGGGCGGCCAGGAGGGGGTGATGTCTAGGGGGGGATGTCACGGCCGGGGCGATGAAGCATTCAGACCGAGGTATAATATTGAGGTCAGTTCGGGGAGGGTACCGTAATGTTTTTCGTGTGTATTGGGTGTTCTTGCGCATCCTTGGTGGGGGTACCCTTGACTGTCCTTCAGTTTGCCCGGTGAAGGGCCTCTCTTGATGGATAGTATGTCTAATCTCCCCCGATCTCATGGCCCTTGCTTCTTTTTTCAATGCGTCACTTGGCTCACCCCTCGTCCGCGCACGTGCCTCGGGCCATGAGTTGTGAACCCTCGTTTTGGACGCCCCTCTCTTGGTCACTCTCGAGTTGTGGAGACCTTTGGGGGAATTTCTGCGAGGGGACGAGGGGGAGGAGAAGGAGGTCAGTCAGTAAGCCAGGCGCCAGGCAGCGGCGCATCGGCAAGGAATCGACAGGAGCACGATTGGCTCACAGATTCCATGAAACAGATTAGCAGGAAATGCAACAGCACTGCAGACCTACACTCTATTAGGGCCGGCCCGGCGCACGCACATAAATTCGCACGATGACCTGCATGCCTGCCAAACGGAAGCGCTGGGGGGAGGAATGGAGAGGGGAGGGGAGGAGAGGGTGGATATTATGATACGCATAACTTGAGATCTGCACGCGGCCTGCGCTTTAGCGGGCCCCCGGGACACCAGCGCGTAGACGATTAGTGGGCCAACTTGTACACACACTGAGCCCATTGCAGCTTAGGGCGACCGCGCTTCCGGACCAAGTGCCACTGTCTTGGCGCAGTGCTCCCTGGCTGGCAAACCAACTGTTTCAAAAAGTTATCGTCGGGCAGGCTGGAGATCTTGTCGTAGGCTTGCACTTGCCTGGTACGTAATGTCTCACTCAGGAGATCAGCTTGAGCAAGTGATATAACTTCGGCGTTGGACACCCGAGAATAGTAAGCATGCTGGATCCGCAAGATTTGTCGGAAACACGATGCTTGGAAACTGTTAATTCTGTTGCGGTCTGCTTGCAATATCCATAAAGATTCCAAGTTGTACAAGAGTTTAGGCACCACAATAGCGTCAAATAATCGGAGCTTCCGGGATTTACTGATACCAGCATGGGCCCAACACTTGTGCAACAATTTGAATGTCCTCCTGGCTTCGCCTAAACGTCTCGTAACCTCAGGCTTGCTCTCCGCACCGCTGTGCAATAAACCACCCAAGTAGACGGCTTGCTGAACATTCTTGATCGGCTGCATGTGAGGGTCGCGCACCACGCCCTGATTGTTCACAGTCATTGCGACGGTTTTGTCCCAGTTTAAGTCAAGGCCGCATTGTTTACCCACCCGAATCGTAAGATCCAGAAGGACCTGCAGCTTCAGCGGATGCGCGCTCATGAGCATCGTGTCGTCTGCGTACAGTATGTCATTGCATACCACATACGCCGGCTCTTGAACATCCATTGACATTGCCTTGTACAGCTTGTCAACGTCGAAGAACATTACCGTCTGCATGATGATGAACAGGTAAGGAGAAAGAGGGCATCCTTGTGCTATTCCTGCCCGCTGTTGCCTCGTAGTGGAATCCCCAGCCGGATCTTTTAATAGAAAACGCCGCGTCCTATATATACTTGCAATAAGGGATAATAGAGGCCCAGGAATACCAAATCTCGCCAATGCCCGTATCAGCGCGTCGTGTTTGATGCGGTCGAAAGCCTTGGCCCAATCAAGAAGGACAGCGATCAAACCAGGCTCTTTCGCGCACTGAGCGGCGTCTATCATTCGGCGTGCTATTGAAATTGCATCTATAGTACTGCGCCCTGGTCTGAAACCAAATTGAGTTGGTCGGATTCTGCTCTCGGCCCCTCCCCGTTGAAGTCGTTTCTGGATCATCCAGGCCAGCACCTTGTAGCCCACCGGAAGAAGTGAAATTGGACGATAGTTCTCTGGTAGACTCGCGTCCCCCTTTTTGAACAGGAGCACCACTGATGCAGTCCGCCACGAATCTGGGATATCTTTATTGCACCAGCACTTTTGGCAAATCTCCAACAAACTTGTAGATGCGGTACTCGACATACGAAGTAATTTCCAGAATTCAGGCGCGATCCCGTCGTGTCCTGCTGCCTTTCCAACGGCAAGGGCCTTCAATGCTTCGGTGAGCTCGCCCATGGTAAAGGTGTTCGTGTCCATGGGTAATTGTTCCCCCATACTGGCATTGTCTTCTGGTTGTATACCGGCGTACTTGATGTCCCACTGCACCTTCTCGAAGTAATCCGCCAACGTATTTGCGCGCTGGTTGCTTGCGACCGGCTGTCCCGACCTATCTTTGATGTCTATGGGCGTCTTACCCGGGGTCTTCCTGAGTGCTTTGATTGCCGCCCACGGCCCTCCAGCGAGTTGCGCATCCAGCCATTTTCGTTTGTCTTGTCGTATGGCTCTCTTGATTGCCTTGCTCTGTCGTTGTTCTCCCTCTTTGTCTCCGCTCTCCCGTAGTTGGTCCCGTTCCCGAAGTAGCCCAAGCGTTCGTGGAGAAATCCGTTGTCGCTGGCGGCCTCGACCAGGTACGGCTGCCACCTGCGATGCTTCACGCATGGCTCCCGCCAGCGCGATTGCATGTATATCCAATGGTAATGAATTCGCATCGCGTTGGAGTGCAACGTCAAAGGCATCATGTATAGTCGTAGACGTGAATACCCCAACAGGCCCCTCCTCGCCCGTGCTTGTAAATGCTGACCCCCCGCAACTGCGGTGGCTCAAAGTCTGAGAGGCCCCCAGCCGCGGCGGCCCCTGCATGGACGGAGGGGCGCCTCCGCTGTGGGCGACACTGCTCACGGCCTGGGGGGCGACCTGGAGCGCCTGCTGGAGTTGGGGCTGGGGCGGAGTCACCACCCAGGCGGCTCTCGCGGCGCCGTTCGCGACCTCCGGCCACTGCCAGGGGGACTCTGAGCGCTGCTCCTGCGACTGGGAGCTGCGCAAGATCATCGACCTCCAGCAGGAGGTCGGCCTCCTCCAGTCGGAGGTGTGGGCGCTGCGGTGCCTGCTGCTGGCCGGGCTCCTGCTGCTCGGCGCTGTGGCCTCTGGTGCTGGCACGCTGGGCTTCCTGGTGGGGGCCTGCCGGCGCTGTCGCTGCGGCGGGCGCGAGCGCGCGCCGGGCCGGGCGACCGAGCCCGGCGCCCAACCGGCCGCGGCCTCGAGGGCGGCGGCGGTAGAGGGGCTGGCGTGCCCGCAGCCGGGCCGAGGGCCCTCGACGCCGAGCCGCCGGCAGCTGTAGCCCGATGGCAGACGTGCTGACGCTGGACATCGGCGACCCGCCGATCCTGGTCCACTACCCAGATGATGAGAACGGCTTCCTCTGGCACCACAGAGTGCTGCTCTTCAGGGTGTCGGACGACATCTGGATCAGCTTGACCCCTGATCTCGCGCTGGTGCGCCTGAAGCTGCTGGACATCCGGCACGAGGTGCTGGAGAGGCGAGCCCCGTTCCCCGCCCACTTGGGCAACCAGGTCTATGCCCACGACCCCATCGCCGCCGCCGCCCTGGCGGGCTTCCGCCGCCGTGCGAAGATCCAGGGGCAGCTGCTGGGCGTGGGCCAGGTGGACGTGGTCGAGAGGATGATCTGGGTGGTGGCCGAGCCCCGGTCGGCGAGGTTCGGCGAGGTGATCGACGCGGCCGTCATGGACGACGACGCCCGCGGCACGGGCTTCGACACGAAGGGGGTGGCGGTCGTGGACGGAGAGGAGATCTTCGTGCAGAAGATCGCGGCCAGCAAGCTCGACGACTTCAAGAAGGAGACCAAGGCGGACCTCGGAGACGTGCGCACGCTCGGGGACCACCTCGACGATGCTGGGCAGCGCTGTCTGAGGCTCTCGGAGGCGGTCGCGCTGATGAGAGACACGGATCAGCCGAACTTCCCGCTCGCCGGCGTGAGGAGCGTGAAGGAGTTCCTCGAGTCGGTGGCCTCCGGCCCTGGCAACATGACATCGTACCAGGCGGAGTGGGAGCGGCTCAGCGGAGTCGGTGAGGGTTCGGCAGTCAACCATGTGCACCGCAACCTGTGCGAGGTGATTCGGCTCATGCACTCCTGGGACCAGGTCGACGCCTCCATGTTGGCCTCTGCGGAGCTGATCGTGCGCTGGCTGGTTCAGACGGAGATAGTGGTTGAGCGCAACCCGCGCCACCCTGACTACAGCGGGCTGGACATAGTGATCTCAGCCCCGGTGAATGCAGCGGGCCGCGCGACGACGAACAAGTTCAACTCCTGGGTCACCGACAAGCTCAAGGAGAGGGCGCAGATCTGGAAGCAGGAGCGCCTGTACCGCGAGGAGCAGAAGACGAACCTGAAGGAGGGCAAGGGCGGCGACGGCTACGACCCGTCCAAGAAGAAGCTGAAGAAGAGAGGGGGCAAGGCCGGCGCCGAGGGCGCCGGCGAGGGAGGATGACGCCTCTCGGGGCTGTGGGGGAGCCGGCGCTGGCAGCCCGGGCGCCGAGAGAGCCCCCCCACAGCCGACACAGACGTGGGCTAGCCCCCTCTACTCCTGGAGGGATCCGGTCACGAGATCGACGGCATGGAGACCCCTTTCCTCTGCCCTGCGATCCGAGTGGCCTCGGCTCTGCATGCAGCTCTGCGCGACAGCGGCAAGTTTTTTGACACGGTTCGGGCCCTGAACCAGCTTGCCGCCGCCAACGTGAATTCACGTCGCGCCCAGGGGCACGACCGCGCACCAGAAGGGCACCTCCGGCCGACCGCCGTGCAGCAGTGGATGATCCAGAATGTCGCCCGGCGTGTACTGGCGTATGGGGATTGCCCCACTGACCTCACAGAGGAGTCATCGTTGCACGAGATCCTCGACTCGAGAGACCACTACGGGATGGAGCCCAAGAACTTGGCCAGCTTCGACTTCGACAAGGTCAAGATCCTGCACAGGAAGGTCCACGTTCGGCCGATACGTCGGGAGTTGCCCGCGTCGGCCGCTGGCTACCTTCGGCATGCTTCCGACTTGATCGAGATGGACGAAGCGGAGCTTGAGAGAAATCGTGCCGAGGGAGTGGGTGTCACGCCATACTGGGACCCCCTCCTCCGGCGCTCGCGAGACCTTCGGAAGCGACTGTACCAGCGCCTGGACCAGCAGGGCCTGCTGACTTGGCGCCGGCGGCTGAAGGGGCATGCGGGCATCTTCGTGGTCAAGAAAAAGGATGGGCTCCAGAGGTTGATCATCGACGCCCGAGCGGCCAATCGGGCGCATCGGCCACCTCCCACTACTCGGCTAGGCTCCTCGCGATGCATGGCCGACCTCGACCTCTCCGACCCCCGCCTGAAAGCATCGGGCTTCGGGGGCCTCGGCTCTGGGGCCTTCAGCCCAGCTGGCCGCGAGGGGGACGTCGGGGACTGTTTCTACAACTTCACCATCCCCGAGCTGGCGAGCTGGTTCGGCTTCGCAGACCAGTTCGGCACCCACGAGCTGACGGAGATGGGCTGCCTGCCGGACTCGATCTGGGACGACGCCGAGGGGGCCGAGACCAAGGTCGAGGACGGCGAGCTGCTCTACCCCTGCATGCGCGCGGTGTGCATGGGCTGGTCCTGGGCGCTCTACTTCGCCAACGAGGCCGTGACCTACCGAGTCCAGCGGGCGCTGCCCGACGGGGCCGAGAAGGTGATGAGGGAGATGCAGCTTGCCCCGACCATCGAGCCCGGCAAGTGCGCTGCCGGAGTGCACGTGGACAACGTGCAGGTGATCGGGGGCTGCGAGGCTGACGCCAACACTCAGATGCATGAAATCGAGAATCTTTTTCGAGAGGACCGGATACCTTTCGACGTGGAGCCGGGGGACAGTTTGGAGATGCAGTCCCTCGGCCTGGTGTACCACTGGCAGGAGCGTCGCCTGAGGCATGTGGCTCGGCGCGTCTGGCGGACCTACATGGCCGGACACGCCCTTTTGAGACGCCGCAAGCTCCACGGGCACGCGCTCCAGTGCTGGCTGGGGCACGTCGTGAACCTGAACCAGCTCTGCCCCGAGGCGATGTCCGCGCTGAACGCCTGCTACCGCTTCATCGAGGAGTCGCTGGAGTCGCCCAAGCGGGTCTGGCCCTCCGTGAAGTCCGAGATCCGCTGCTCGATGAACTTGCTCTTCCTGATGGAGGCGGACCTGGGCGCGACCTACTCGGACCAGGTTTACTGCGGGGACTCGTCCGGTCGCGGCTACGCACTCCACGTGACGACCGCCGAGCCGACCGAGCTCCGAGAAGCCTGGAGGTGGAGAGAACGCTGGCGGTACCGCGACGTCCCGACGGTGACGGGTCACGTCAGCAGCGGGCTCGACTACGTGCGCGGCGGCACGCCCGGCACCGCCACTGGCCCGAGGACCGCCTTCGGCCAGTCCCTGCTGAGTCAGGCGGAGGCGCCGGAGGAGGCGAGCGGCCTGGCTCCCTCTCCGGCCCGAAGCCGCGCTGCGAAGCCGGCTCGAGGCCGCACCCAGCTGCATCTTGACTCGGGCATTCCCGCCTTGGAGGACAGCTGGGTGGCCAGGCGCCGCTACAAGCTGGTCGCCGCGGACCGCTGGCGCTGGCAGGACGAGCACATCAACCTCAAGGAGGCGAGGGTCGCCTTGATGGGGCTCCGACGGCACTGCCGATCGGTGAAGTTCATGGGCACAAAGCTGCTCTCGATCAGCGACAGCCAGGTCACCGTCGGGGCCTTCGAGAAGGGCCGCTCCAGCGCGGGCCTGCAGGCCCTCTGCAGGCGCGCAGCCGCCTACCGCCTGGGGGGGCAGATCTCCTGGCGGCTCAGGTACATCGAGACTGACCGTAACCCGAGTGACGAGGACTCCCGGCGCTGGGACCTGAAGAAGCCGGCTGGGCTGAACCGGGGGCCCGAGCGTCGAGACGCCGCCCCGAGCCTGTCCGCTCCAGCTGCGAGTTACACGACCTCCTCCTCTTCTCGGTCACCTCCGTCGGCATCCTCAGCATCTGTTGTACGCCCGTCAATTCAGAGCGAGCCTGGTAAATCAGTTTTTTGTATGGAGCTCTTCGGTGGAAAGGGGGAGCTGACTCGAGCCTGCCTGGCGGAGGGGCTTCCCTTCGCGGATTCAGTTGATATCAGAGACGGCTGGGAATTTGATCTTTCTCGTCGCAGTACACAAGAGTATATCCTGAGGCTGGCCCGAGAAGGGCGTTTGATATATGTGCACCTGGGAACGCCTTGTCATGTTTGGAGTATCGCTCGGAGGGGGATCCGAAACCATGTTCGAGCCAGGGCCCGGGAACGTCTGGGCATCGAGTTCGCACTGTTTACGGCTACGTTGTGTCATATCCTATCACGTCGTGGGTGTTATTGGGGTGTGGAAAACCCCCGGACTTCGAGACTCTGGAACTTCGACCCGATCGCTCGCCTTCACGGACTCGCGGACGTCGTCGAGGTAAACTTCGATATGAGCATGTATGGCACGGCCTATCGGAAACCTACTCGAATCCTGACAAACCTGAGAGCGTTACAGTCCCTGGGAGATCGACCTCGCATTCGACATAAACACTCGGTCTTGCTACACGGTCATCTCACATCACTTGCCGCCGCCTACCCGCCGGCATTGGGCTCGTGTTGGGCCAGGCTCCTTTCTTCGGCCTTGCCGGGCGACATACGCCCGGGCCAGCGGGCCTTCGACCCCAGCGAGGTCCGCCATGGCCTCCAGCGGGCCGCGGGCCGTCGCCCGGCGGCTCGAGGAGCAGCGGTTCACGGTGAGGTCGGTGAACCCCGTGAGCCAGCCTGCCAGGCCGCCGACTCGTTCCTCGAGCACGACCCGATCATCCAGTTCGGCCAGGACAAGCGGCCCCGGCGCTGGAGGGCCCACCCGGACTGGGCGGCAGCCGCCACCGGGGAAGGGCCGACCGCGGCAGCCTACAGGCCCCCGGCGGGCAGGCCCCATCACCGTCCCGCGGAAGGACTCGCTGATCATGGCGACGGTGACCGGAGGCGCGCTGGAGAGGTACGCGACGGCAGTCCACGAGTTCGAGACCTACGCGAAGGAGAGGCGCCTGCCGCTGCAGCCGCTAGCACGCCTGGACGACAGCCTCTCCCTCTACTTCGTGGACCTGTTCGACGACGGCTTCGGGGTCTGGGAGGGGCGCAACGCTTTCTACGGGTACAAGCTGCTGAAACTCAGGACGACAGGCAAGGTCGACCTCCCAAAGGCGCTGGCCTCCCTGAAGGGTTGGACGAAGCGGGCGCCCGGGAGGATGCGTCTGCCGCTGCCCGACATCATCGTGGACGACATCGCGCTGGGCCTGGTGGAGCACGGGAACCCCCTGATGGGGGCCGCGGTGGTGATCCAGACAGACACCTACACGCGGCCCTCCGAGGTGGTGGGCCCGAGGCAGGGCCAGATCTTGCCGCCGGCGCCGGTCGCGAAGCTCGGCGCGCACTATGGCATCGTCATCGCGCCTTCGGAGTGGCACGAGACGACGAAGACGGGCGGCCAGGGCGACAGCCTGCTCGTGGGCGACGTGGCGAGGCCCTGGCTCACGAGCGTGCTGCGGCTGCTCCACAAGCCCAACGTGTCGGACAAGAAGAAGATCTTCGACTTCACCCTCGGCGACTACGAGCGCGAGGTGAAGAAGTCGGCCTGCCGCCTGGGCTACACCCCCCTGGGCGCGTGCCCGCACGTCTTCCGGCACTCAGGCGCCAGCAATGACAAGGCGCACTCCCGGAGGACGTTGAAAGAGGTTCAGAAGCGCGGACGATGGGCATCATCCGCGTCGGTGGCTCGCTACGAGAAGGGGGCCCTGATCTTGCAGCAGTTGCGCAAGGTTCCCTTGGCCAGGCAGAAGAAGGCGGCGGAGCGCAGCAAGCGCCTGCCGCAGGTCCTCCTTCAAAAGATTCGTGGAGTGTAGCGGCCACCAGTTCATGATATGGGTATGGGCGAAAGAGGGGCCGTCCAAGATGACAGCCCGACGATGTTCGACAAATTATCTCGTCTCAGGCCTGAGCTTCGATTGGATTACCTTGTCAGAGAGTGCGTGTGAAAGGTGATCCAAACTAGATCGCACAGCTTCGCTGGATATGCATGTCTGGGCGAGGTTTTTAGGCCATCTAGGGGTGTGTATAGTCGTAGACGTGAATACCCCAACAGGCCCCTCCTCGCCCGTGCTTGTAAATGCTGACCCCCCGCAACTGCGGTGGCT